ACAACTGGGGAGCAACACAGACAATGCACCCAGGGTTCCAGCGGAGGGAAATAAAGCAACAAAGCCTCTAGCTGTAAAAACTTGTGGGGGTTGTGGTGGTGGTTCCTAGCCTCACAGGAGAGTCTGTTGGAGACACCCACAAGGATCTAGAATGTTCACAAACCCTCACCTGGGAAACAGCACCAGAAGGGCCCAATTTGCTTGTGGGTAGCGGAGGAAGTGACTGAAAGCCTCCTAAAGCTGAGCAAGCGGCACTGTTCCCTCTTAGACTCCCTCCCTCACAAACTGCGTCACAACGAATTAAAGTGGGTTGCCCCACCCTTGTGAATACCTAAGGCTCCACTCCTCCCAACATAACAGGTGCACCCAGACAAAGAAATATGGCCCAAATGAAAGAACAGATCAAAACTCTAGAAAAAGAGTTAAGTGATAAGGAGGTAGCCAACCTATCAGATGCAGCATTCAAATCACTGGTAATCAGGATGCTCACAGAAATGATTGAGTATGGTCACAAAATAGAGGAAGTAGTGAAGAATATATAAAATGAAGTAAAGTAAAATATACAGGGAACCAACAGTGAAGGGAAGGAAACTGGGGCTCAAATCAATGATTTGGGACAGAAGAAAAAAATAAACACTCAACTGGAACAAAATAAAAAAACAAGAATGAAAAAAAATGAGGAGAGGCTTAGGAACCTCTGGGACAACTTTACATTCCAACATCTGAACCATTGGGGTGCCAGAAGGAGAAGAGGAAGAGCAAGAAATTAAGGAAAACTTCCCCAGTCTGGTGAAGGAAATAGACATGAAAGTTTCAAAAAAGTTGAACCCAAGGAGGAACGCACCAAGATACATCATAATTAAGTCACCCAAGATTAAAGATAAGGAAAGAATCTTAAAAGCAGTAAGAGAAAAGGAGACAGTTACCTACAAAGAATTCACATAAGACTGTCAGGTGATTTCTCAAAAGAAACCCTGCAGGCGAGAAGAGGCTGGAAAGAAGAATTCAAATTCATGAAAGGCAAGAACCCACACCCAAGATTATTCTATCCAGCAAAGTTATCATTTAGAACAGAAGGGCAGATAAAGTATTTCCCAGATAAGGTCAAATTAAAGGAGTTCATCATCACCAAGACCTTATATGAAATGTTAAAGAGACTGATTTAAGAAAAAGAAGATCAAAACTATGAACAGTAAAATGACAACAAATTCACAACTACCAAAAACTGAACCTAAAACAAAAATAAGCTAAGCAAACAACTAGAACAGGAACAGAATCACAGAAATGGAGATCACATGGAGGGTTATCAGCAGGGAGGGAGAGGGAGGAGAATGGGGGAAAAGGTACAGGGAATAAGAAGTATAATTGGTAGGTACAAAATAGACGGGGGGGGGGGGGGGTATGAATAATATAGGAAATGGAAAAGCCAAAGAACTTCTATGTTATAATGGACATGAACGAAGAGAGGGGGATGCTGGTGGGAGAAGGGGTGCAGGGTGGAGGGGTGTACAAAGGGGAGGGAAAAAATGGGACAACTGTAATAGCATAATCGATAAAATATACTTAAAAACATTTTAAAAAAGAGAAATAGCTAGAAATTGTACAGATGGTAGGACAGAGGAAAATTACAAAATAGTTTAAGACAAATAAAAATAAAACCACATTTATCAAATTTATTACATGCAGCTAAAGCAGTGTTTGGAGAGAAATTTAGAGCATTAAACTTATTTTATAATAGAAGAAAAGTTTAAAAATCAATGACTGGTATGGGAAGGGTTCGACTGGGAAGGAATAGCTTGAGGGAATTTTCTGGTTGATGAGGAAACTGTAAGGATCCTAATTATGGTGGTGCTCACACAAATCCATACATGTACTGAAATTCATAGCACTACCCACAAAAAAGTTCATTTTGTTCTATGTTAATTTTAAAAGTAAAATAAAATAAATTAGCTCAAAAATCAATGATTAAAGCTTTCCTCTTAAAAAACAAGAAAAAGAAGAATAAATTAAATCTGAAGTAAATGGGTGAAAGTAAGAAATAAGCTAAGAACAGAACTTAATGCAATATAAAACAGAAAACAACACAGAAAAATCAATAAAAACAAAAGAAAGTTCTTTAAAAATATCAATAACATCAATATAAAATTGATCAATCTCTCACCAAACTGATTAGGAAAAAGAAATAAAGACCTAAATTAGTTATACCATGTATTAGAAAGGGGCCATCACTACATGTCTTACAGACATTAAAAGGATGACAAAGAAATATAATGAACAAGTCTATGGCAATAAACTTGCCAGTGCAGATGAAATGAAAATTTGTTGAAAGACACAAGCTATGAAAGTTCACTCAAGAAGAAACAGATATGGGGCTTCAATAGCCCCATATCTACTAAAGAAATTTAATACTTAAAAACCTTCTCTCAAAGAAAACGCCAGGCCCAGATGGCTTCACTGGTAAATTCTACCAAATAGGCAAGGAAGAAATACCAATTCTATAAAAACTCCTGCAGAAAATTCAAGAGGGGGGAATGCTGTCCAATTTATTCCATGAAATGAGTATGTATCTGAGAGTAAACAAGAGACTTACGAGAAGACCACAGACCAAGCTCACTCGTCAACACAGGTGCAAAATCCTTAGCTAAATTTTAGGAAATCGAATCCAGTAATGTATAAAATCTGCCTGCCACATGAGGCGGTACTAACCCCGAGTGATTATCACCTAAAGAAATCAGAGAAAACTTGGAGAAGGTGACTTCTGAGAGGACTCTTGGTAGGCAAGCAAAATTTTACTTGGTGGAGGTGATGGGATAGAGGAAATGGTAGGAAAAAATACAAATAAACACAAGGAGGCAGCTGACTAACCAGGTAGGCATGTGGGCGCTGGCTGGGGTGCCTGCCAGGCTTTCAAAGAGCTCCTTTCTCTGGGAACAGTCCATACACAGAGCTGAACCCATGGGGCCAAGTCTGTGCTGTATAACCCTGACCCCCCAGCCATACCTGACTGTCAGACATACCACCAAGATGGACAACCAGACACTTGTCCAAGAATTTGAAACCCGAATGGAGGCAAACTCCCAGCCTGGAATTTGCAGGGGCCAAACCGGGATCTACCTTGAGGGGAACTGTCAGAGCTGGTCACTTCCTGCCCTTCCCTAAGCTTTTCAGCAACTTCTTGGACCCTATGAGCCGTCCCTGGGGCCTTCCTATAGACTTACCCTTTCAGTTTGGTTAATGAAAAGTGGATTCTGTTGCCTGCTACCAAAAAACATTCAAGAGTTCAGTGAGCATAATGACAGCAAGTTTATCTCTATGAAAGAGTTCTATCTCACAATGTAAAACTGTTAACCCTGGGCCAGAGCCAACGGTTAACACTTCTGTAAAGTGAAGTCAGGGGAATCGGATCAAACTGTAATGCTGGGTTCAGTCTGCACACTGGAAATGACAGGCACAGCAGGAGGAAGTTTAAGGGAGAGAAGGCACTAAAGGTTTCCAAAATGGTGGAGAACATGGTCAACACAGTCATGCAGGATCACCTCACAGTGCCATGGAGGACAGATTATAAAATACATTTGACTCCTTAGAAAGGCTACAATAACAGCCACTGACATGAAATGCCCAGATCTTTCTTGCTCTTATGCCTTTGGTTCTTCCCTCAAGCACCTACCTAGCTTAGAGCCAGGCACTGAGTCACACTGAGCTAAATTCTGCTGATCGGAGAGGTTGAAAAGAGAGCACTGATAAAACTTGATGACTTAATGCTGGAATCCAAGGGGGTAAGGCTAAAGGTCATGGCAGTTTCAACCTTTTTTTGTAATTTCAACTGAACCAGAAATGACAGTAAGTATGATGAGCTCAAGGTATATTTATGAGGATGAGCATAGTACAGACGAACTGTTTCAAGGTATTGCCAAAACACCTAGGTAGAGTGTCCGGCATGCAACCAGCAGGAGTCCAGTCTCTTGGAGGTCTGTTTACTCCCAGTAATTGAGGGCTCCTGTGTGCAAGGCACCAAGCCAGGAGCTGAAGGGGATTGCAGAAGCCATGGGAGTGAATGAGACAGTGGAGGGAGAACAGCATCATTGGTCAGTCCTGTCCATAAAGAAAAAGCCTAGAAATAGTTTCACTGCCATTCAACTAGGGAATGGCAGAATAAATGATGATACAGATGTATGATTAAAAAGAAAAAGGCAATTCTATAGGAATGTGAAATGATGTGCTGATGAGCATTACATCGAGTGCTTTTTAAATGTCTCTAGCTTAGTAAAACCCACCTCCACTTATTTCCCAATAAGCTAATGAAAAACCTACTAAAACATCCCTTGATGCAAAGTCTCATTTAGTGGCAGGGGCCAGAGGAACATTCTTGATTCTTTCTTGGAAGAGGTTCTGATATAGAGGCTTCAGAACTCGTTCTTGTCAAGTCAGTGGGGCACACACCAGGCTGTTCCCAGGGAGGAAGTGAATGAATGAATCCTAATCAAATCTGTCAGCTCTGAGGGAGTCCGATCCTGACTGCTCAGCCTCAACAGGGGAAGCTGGAAACCACACCTTTCTTCAGAAAAGAAACCTACACTTCCACACAATCCACCCAGAGTCTATTTTAGCTCAGAACCCAGAATGAAAATATCTACTATTATAAATAGCAAAACTAAGATTACATCTTCAACTGATTTTAGTTTTTGATGTTAGGAAAGAGGTTGGACACTAAGTCAGCTGTAAAGCAAGGGGTCAAAGGAAACCCACAGTGTGAATACAGTGTCTGGGTTGAACGGCCACACTTGAATCTTTTTCCCCCCACATTGTCTCAATAACCAATTCCTGTGGCTTTAGTCTATAGAAAAGCACCTGAGAAATTCTAGGAAGGTTGAAGAGAAGTTTTAAGGGAGCCCGCCAAAACCAAAAAGGAGATTGATTCTTCAAGAAAAGCTGCTTCTCTCCCTCCCTCCAGACCGCAGCGGGCAGGGATACCAGAGAGGCAGGGAGGTGAGCGGGCCTACCTTTGTTGTGAGACATGGCGTAGAGGAGGCAGAGCACGAAGAGCGCGTGGTAATCATCATCGGGGCTATCCAGCGCGTGGTACACCATGTCCAGGAAGGGCCTAGAGAGGAAGAGGGATACTGGTGAGCTTTGTGGTGCACACAGGTGAACACTTCTCTCCCACCTGTGCTAGTCTTTGCCTCTCACAGCTCTGCCACCAGCATGCAGGGGAGTTCACTCTGTGCCCAGTCCAGCACCCGGCACTGAGGATACCACACAAATGGAAAACAAGTCCTGCCCATGGGAAGCTGATATCTTAAGGGGAAAGTGACTGAGGAACAGACCACTTAATCACCCCATAATGGCTCACCAGTTGTCCAAGACACTGGGGAGGAATAGAGAATACAAAGTCCCTGCTTTGTGGAACTCCCATGCCAATGGGCAGAGACTGAGAACAGACAGACCACATCATCACTTCAAAGAGTGACAAGAGAATGAAGAAAACAGGGCAATGTGAGCCCTGGCTGGGGTAGCTCAGTGGATTAAGCATGGGCCTGCGAATCAAAGGATCTCGGTTCGATTCCCAGTCAGGGCACATGCCTGGGTTGCAGGCCAGTTCCCAGCAGGGGGCACATGAGAGGCAACCATACATTGATATTTCCCTCTCTCCTTCCCTTCCCCTCTAAATAAATAAAATCTTGGAAAAAAACAAAAACAAAAAACAGGGCAATGTGAGAGGCTAATACCATCAAACAAGGTACCACTCAGAACACTTTTGGAATGTGGGCCATGGAGCCAGACCACATGGGCTCAAATTCTGATTCTGCCTTTTCCTAGCTATAAACCCTTGAGTAAGTTACCTAAAACCTATTTCTTAGCTTTAAGATGGGGATTAAAACCTTACAAGGTTATTAAGAGGATTCAAGCCAATGACAACTGAAAGGCACTAGTTCAGTTGCCCTGTGTGTTAAACCACTTAACACGGGGCTGGGTCCGCAGTGGAGAATGCTGGTACGCTGGAACCGCTATTTGATTTCCACTGTGAATACTGCAAGGGCACTTCTCCATCATCTCACTTCGGCAGGTCCTGGCCCAGCAATTTCTTGGACTGACCTTCCCTGACTGGTGAGAATCTATGAAGTCTCTCACCTCTGATGCTCTGTGGGTGAGATTTATAGAGTGGCTGCAGGTATTGCAAACCACACCCCCCAAATGCTGTCCTTCAAGGTGAAGGAACTGGCCTGGACAGACTCTTCAAGGATAACAGAATACGCACAGTTGTGGCCCACAGGCCAGAGGGTCTGATTTTGTGACTGTCTGTGCCTGTCTCTGGATGCCAGGCTGAAGCTGAGACACAGAACACCTCAGTGAGTGACCGAAGTCACACCTGACCCCTGGAAGGACGCACAGCTACTGTCAGCGACAGCTGTCTAGAGGGACTGAAACAGTGAGGGGAAGAAGCACAGTATAACCTGTTATACTTTTTTGAATTTTGAACTCCATAAATATACCACTGATTCAGAATATTACGTTGAAAAATACAAAAGAAATAGTAAAAACGTACTTGGCATACATTTCAAATAAACACAGGACACACAAAAATGAAAGAAAGACTCTTAAAGAAGATGTTTCCGTTCGGGCTGTTTCCCCTAAGCCCCAGATGGAGCATCACCCTTCAGATGGGTGAATAGTTTTGCAATGCGTGCATTTGAGTTTTTGTAAGCCCACGGTGATAACACTTTCAAATTAACAGTGGGATAAAGTGGAACATGTTTTCTTGTAAACCAGCTGCTTAGACTCTGGATTGTATATTCATTTGGGAATAATATGAATAACCAAACACCCAGATGCGAAGGGAGGGCTGGGTGGATGTATCATCTGTTATGAGATGAGGTATTATGAGGACATTAGTGTTTTGTTTACTAAGAAAAAGAGTTTGGGGTTCGATTAGACAGAAAAAAAGAAGAAAAAAGTGACAGACACGGGATGGTATAAGTTATTGGGGTAAAGGAAAGCAGAATTCCCACTAAATTGACATGGAAAAAAAACTGGCAGGAAATAACCAAAATGTCAGTACAGCTGCCTTCGAGTGCCAGCATCATGGAAACCTTTTCCTTCTTTATACTTTTCAAGTTTTTTTTTACATTTTCTGAATGTGTGTTCTATAATTTTTAAAGCTTTTTTTTTTTTTTTTTTTAAAGAAAAGAAAGCGTGTTTTGAATGGTTTTAGTTTCTTGGCCTATATTTAACCCTGAATGCAGATATAACCCATATGCAAGAACAGTTACGCTTTGTACTGTGCTATTTCTTCAGACAAGTAGACCAATGTCAAGATCCAATTCATGTCAAGAACAAATTGTCCCCCCCTCCACCCCCAGTACCCTCCTCCCTGCTCAGTGCTGGGAACTGGGAGGAGAAAAGTCCTTGGCGGTATTTCTGACAACCTACAACTCAATAGCATTGCAAAGGAGAAGGCAACTCCCCACCTGGGCTGGTTTCTCTCTGGCATTCAGTCTTAGGACAGAGCCAGGGCTCTGGCCCCAAAGTTCCGGGGACACAAGCCTGCATGTGACCCAACTCAAGCTACAGGATCAACTTCCCTTATAAACAACCTCAATCAACTCTAAGGAAGCCCTTCTCTTCACTGAAGCTCAGAGGGGAAAAAAAGAAGCCTGAACCCAAACATTCAAACATAACATTTTGGTCTGTTCACATTTTTTTGTTTTTGTTTTTGATTTGCTTTTTGGACAATAAAGGGGTATTTTCTTCATTGAGCAAAGCTATCGTGTTGCCATGTTATGTAAAATATGTGCTCTGTTTCCATTTATTAGATCCTAAGAAACTGAACACATCACAACAACATTCACTGAAAAGCAGTAGCCAATAATCTATTTAGTAGATGTACCTTCATTTGCTTAAGAATCCCCCATTTCTAGTCATGTGTAGTTTTTCCAATTATTCATATTCTAACCAATCTTGTGCAAGCACCTAAAAATTGTTTCCCCCGCCTTTTCTGTGTTTAGAATGATTTCCTTAATTTTTGGAGCTTCCAGAGTTACATTTTTTTGCTGACAAAAAAAATCAAAAAGGCCTCTGTAAGTTACAACGACCAACAGCCCACACTGTACTCCAGTGTGTTCTACTTAACCAAAACTAAAAGTGGCTCCCTTGCGCTTCTGATAAAAATTAATCCTGCTGGGTAACTGCAACATCTGCCAAACAGAGGAATAAGATGCGGAGGGGAAAAATAGTGTGCTTCAACTCTCCACTTCAAGTAGGGTGGGGGCATGTGTGACTGTCAGCCACCTCACCCTCAGGGTTCAGGAGGTGCATTCCTTGGAGGCTGACCGAGAGACATGCTGTTGTGTGTTTACTAACTGCAGTAGGAGAGAGCAGGTTGTTACAAGGGTCTGGGCAGTGGGGCCAACAGATAAGGAGCCTATATTTAGGCTCCCAGCAGTTGACTGCACACTTTGGGAGAAGCCTTCTACCCAAGTCCATTCCCAAAGGGGTGGTGCTATAGCAAGGTTCCAGGAAATGTGGCATCTCAAAGGTTTGAGAGGATGTAGCCTTGGCAGGCCCTCACTGAAATGAACAGCCAGGCACAAAGTCAAAGGTGTAGAGCAGCATTAAATCATGCCAGCTGAGTCAGAAGGGCAGGCCTCGTGGATGGCCATGTGCGTTGCAGAAAATAAATGAGACAGGGAGATCCAAATGCTGCTCCCAAGGGGATCCTTCCTGAGAACCACAGAGTCTTCCAGGAATGGGAAGTACAGGCTACAAGGCAGCCCACACCCTTTAGGGCAGGGATGAGCACTGCAGAGCTTGTGGGGGCAGGGGTGGGGGTTGCCATGTCTCAGTCATTCTCTTTGCAAGGGGTGAAAGGATAGACAGGCTGGAGGCAGGATGGCTTGGTTGAGAGGCAGAAGAGACCATCTGGATGGTGGAAAAAGGCCCTGAGTTATCGTTAGTGGCACCCCAGCCAAGGCACCCATCCTCACTGCTAAGCCTACCTCCTCAGCCCAGAGACTGAGCAGCACCCCTCCCCTACCACACTGGCTTGTGGGCAGCCCCACCGCACCGCCAGCACCAGCACAGCACCTACCTGCTCCACTGCACGCTCTCCAAGCCTGTGGCAGCGCTCTTCTCCTCGTCTGTGGTGTTCTGCTCCTGCACGGAGGTGCTGGCTGCCAACTCTGGGGGCTTGCTGCGCTCCATGATCACCATCTCTATCTCTGGAAGCAAATACAGAGACTGGAATGGGCCCAGACAGCTTCCCAGACCTAGATTTATAGACAGACTTGTGTTTGAGACCAAGCTCCAGTAAACTGCTTCTAATACAGCAAGCAAGTATTCAACAGCGGTGACAGAAGCACCAGCAACATACTGGGGGGAAAAATAAGACAAAGGCTAGAAACTCTCTTTCCTTTCATCTTGGCATCATCAAGAAACAAGTCGCTGATTATGACAACAAAGCACAAATTGCCAAAATTTATTTTATTTCAAGGGTTTTAAAAAATATTTTACTTTTTGATATCACACTTCCTTCCTGGAGTTGAGACAGCACAGAAGAAATATGTGGTTGATAAAACATAACCAAATTCACTGAAAACACTCTGAAACTATTTATACTTTAGAAAAAGCTTTGATGTGACAAGAGCCTTTTATTTTCCTTTTCTATTTACAACTTGTGGATGGCAGAGAGAAGTCAGGAATCATGATTTGTTTTTCCCAATTAGAGAATGGCGACTTGTACCACCTGACTTCAGCGTGGTGTGCATTTTGTTGTTCATAAAAAGGTGTAAGCCAATCAAGGAAAACATCCTGACTTAGTGACAGACCGCTGTCACACTGCAAGGTGTCCTGCTACAGATTCCTTCACACGTGGATATAGACCTCTAAACACTTATTTCTTGGAACACAGAGTTTATTTCCTCCATCTCTGGGAGAAAAAATGGGGGAAAACAAGATATTAAAATGTGAACCTGCATTTGTTTCTGGAAAAATGGGAGCATATCGGGGTTCCGACACGACCCTGCCATTGTCTTTCCCTGGACGCACACAAGGGCCCCCACTCGCCCACGGCTTCCTTTGTTGCTTGCTTAGTTTGATCTCTGCACAGACCCAAGTGATTTGAAGCAGAAATTAGTTCGTGTCACCCTTCTCTTCAAAATTCCACCACTGCCTTCCCACCGCATTCAGCATGAAGTCCAAACACCTCCGTGGTGTCAAGGCCCTGCACGGCCTGGCTCCCGTCCACCTCTGACCTCAACCCCTGGCCCTCTCCACCCAGCACCGCTCTAGCTGTGCTGAGCTTTTCTCACTCTTCTTTGACCAGCCCAAGCATGTTTCTGCCCCAGAGTCCTTATGCAGCTGCCCCCTTTTCCTGGCATGCCTCACCCCAGGTCCTCCCTACCCAGGCATGACTCAATCCTATCACTCAAGGCTCAGATGTCACCACCTCAGAGACCTCTTGAAGACCACTCCACCTGTGTTTCCTTTACCTCTTCAAGTTATTAATTAAACTACATACTTCATTCAGGTTTCTTTAGTTTCCACCTAATACCCCCTTTTCTTGTTCTAGGATGCCATCTAGGAAACTGTATCACATCTAATTATCATGTTTCCTTAGGTTCCTCTTGGCTGTGACAGTTTCTCAGATTTTCCTTGCTTTTGATGACCTTATAGTTTGAGAAGAACTGGTCAGGAAATCTGTAGAATGTCCCTCAATCTGGGTTTGTCTGATGTTTTTCTGATAATTAGATTGGGGTTATAGGTTTCTGGGAGGAAGACCACAGAGGGGAAGTGCCCTTCTCATCACATCATATCAAGGGTACAGGGTATCAACATGACTCATGACTGCCAATGTCAATCTGTACCACTTGGCCAAGTGTTATGTTGCTCAGGTTTCTCCATTGGAAAGGAAGTTTTCTCCTTTCATTTTATACTCTTTGGAAGCAAGTCACTAAGCACAGCCCACACTTAAGGAAGGGGGAGTTATGTTCTATTTCCTTGATGGGGGAGTAACTACATAAATTATTTGAAACTATTCTGAATAGATTTGTCCCCTCCCCACCCTTGAGTTCACTTTACAGCATTTATAACTACCTGGATTTTATATTTTCTGTTTATTGGTTTGCTTGTTGCCTGCTTGCCTTTCCCTAGTAAACTGTGGGCTTCCTAAGAGTGGTTGCCTTAGCTATTTTGTTTGCCACTAGAACTCCAGTGTCTAGCCCAGTGCCTGGCACATGGTAAGTGCTCAATAAATATCTCTGGAATGGACAAGTGGATGATTGGCCTAGCCCAAGGAAGGAGGTTCTGCCAGCGGCAACACATATTGAAGTGACCCACAGCCCTGCCCAGCCTGTGTCTAAGTTGTGCGAAGTGTTCTCACAGGGGGAAATCACGGACAACCCTGCCACCCTACTAGGAAGCTGCTAAGCGTGACTGCATTTGTGACTATCCTGTGGGGTGGAGGAGAGCACCTCCCACATGTCCACGTGGGCCTTGACCTCGGCAGGGAACGGGGGGAGGCCTTGCTCTCACCAGCCCTTTCTCTCCCTGCACTGTGTTCTGGAGTCATATGCCATTGACTGAAGTCTCTCACAGGGCTGTCCCCCACTACACAGGTGGAGCCTGACATGATTTTTAAGTGATTTGTGGACAGATATTTTCTTTGCATAGTTTTGTATTTATTTTCATGTGCATTAGAAGAAAATTCTAACTGCACAGAAAACCTGCTCGTTTGAGAATGTTACTGCTCAGGATAAGGCTAAATTTTTAAGGGAAAAAATATGAGTGGATTCATACAGAGCCACTGAGTAAACAGTAGTTCAAGTAGCACATGGATTTGTCAACGAGCAGGAGGTGGTGCAGACTGCTATCTGGGAACCATCAATCTTTCTTGTCCCTGCGTCTGTACCTCCACTGACCCCCTTAGGGTGCCCCCAGCTACCCCAGGCTTTTCCACAGTGAGGTACAGAGATATCTCAGTGGATAAAAATGATCCACTAGGCAGTACCTGTTTTATTTTTACTTATTCTCATCTTTTTTTTTTATTGTTATTCAAGTGTAGTTGTCTCCATTTCCCCCCCCCCTTCCCCTGATCCACTGCCCTCCACTTCCCACCCTCAGTCCTACCCCACTTTGGTTTCTCCATGTGTCCTTATACATGTTCCTTGATGACCTTTGCCCCTTTACCCCCTCCCCCCTCCCCTCTGGTTACTGTCAGTTTGTTCTTAATTTCAATGTCTCTGGTTATGGTTTGCTTGCTTGTTTGTTTTGTTGATTAGGTCCCACTTATAGGTGAGATCATATAGTACTTGTCTTTTAGTGCCTGGCTTATTTCACTTAGCATAATGCTGTCCAGTTTCATCTGTAATTGGTTAACACATGGTACTCATAATTATTTTCATCTTAAAAAATCTATCTTGTTGTTTTTTTAAAAAAGGTTATTTACTTACTTTTAGAGAGAGGGGAAGGGAAGGAGAGAGAGGGGGAGAAATATCAATGTGTAGTTGCCTCTCACCTGCCCCCTGCTGGGGACCTGGCCTGCAACCCAGGCATGTTCCCTGATTAGGGATCGAACAGTGACCCTTTGGTTCACAGGCCCCTGCTCAATCCACTGAGCCATACCAGCTGGGGCTATTTTGTTGGTTTTTATAATGTGGGTAACATTAGCTCAGTAATGTCAAATGTATAATTTATAATAAATGTATTTATATTTGGGAGATGCATGCATAAATTACGTATTTATTTGTTTGTTTGTGATTACTGATAGGGTGTGCCGACAAGGACATCCGAACACTACCAAGCTAGACTACAGCACCAGCCTCCCACTCTGGTTTCTGCCCTGTGATCTTTGACCTGTCTCCTGCCCTACTACAAGCTCCCCTTCCTCCTGGCCTGGCTGTCATGGCAGGAACTCAGCTCCAAGCACCTCTCCCCCAAGTTCCGGAGCCAAGCCCTAGAGCCTCAGCCAGGAGAATAAGCATGCTGTGATCTGGATGGCCCCTTTCAGTTTTTAATCTCCCTGGACACTACCAAAATTCTGGAGCACAGGAGGGAGAGGTTAGAGATAGTGCAGTTCAGTGCTCATCAACATTTGTAAACAGCTAGATGTAAATTTTTAATGACAGTTTCCCATGGCACACCAGCACAGTAAGCTGATGAGAGCAGAGCTGTTCTAGATGAAGAGTGGGTGGGTCCCGAACCTCTCCAAACCATGGGTTCCCTCATGCGCTCCATCGAGGCTTCTAAAGCTCCTTTGTGAAACTCTGGAACTTCACACGAAACTACCTGAAAATCACTGACTTGGTCCTGGATACTGTACATGAGATAATGGAAACCCAGAACTGCTCCCTCTCCCACCTCTCACATCACATCCAGTGCAGAACCAGGCCCACAAGGGCCTCTCCATACAGAACGAGGTGTCCAAAGCTTGACTGGGTCACCCCGGTTCTCACAGCAGTAGCCCCACCCCTCCCATATACTCCTGACCCAGCCAGCATAGCTGTGGAGTGAGCTATTCCACTTAGATTACTCTTCTAGATGAATACAGAACAGTGCTTCCAATGCCAAAACAGTTTCTTCCTAGCTTCTTGTTAAGAATTTTATCCAAACAACTCTTAAAAGTAGTGATTCTTACCTAGGATCTGCCAACTCCCTGTATGCAAAAGGTTACATGGGCATGAGAGGGGTGGGTAATAAGTTTTTGGGGAGAGGGTCTCACCAGATTCTCATTGCTCTAAAAAACATTCTGTAGGCATCTTTAAAAGAGGATTTGACTTATCCTGGTGATTCAAGGTCAAAGTAAACCCCCCTTTGTACAGCACCAGAACATCTAGCATGTTCGTGTATGGCCTTTCTACCCCTGCAACCCCTGCCACCCCTGCCACCTTGATATCATGCCTGCTTCCCTCCCAGGGTGCACATGCCATGTTCCCCCACTGGGGAAAGCAGATCAGTGGGCTTATGTGAACTCAGATTTCCACTGATGGCCACTTAGGACTCATGCCCTGATGATAAATTTCCAGGGGGCTCCATCTGAACTTCAGTTATTAGATCATGAGCCCCTGACCACACAGGTTTCTATTTGGGAGTCTGAAGGGACTGCAACAATAACCTAGCCCAGTTCTGCTCCAACTTTAGTCACATGCCTGCCTTTACAGTTCTGCCATGTGTTGTCTATACTATTTGTTATTTACTTAATCATTTTATTTGAACTCACTTTTTT